GCCCTTTTTGCTCATTATTTTGGAAAGAGTATCTCACTTTTGGCTGAGGCCAGGCTGAACTACAATCCTCTTCTTAGGCTTCCCACAGTATCTGGGATGACAGGTTCATGTCACTACACCCAGCAATTGGCTGAGATGGGATCTTGCTAAGTGTTTGCCAGGGCTGGCCTCAACCCATGAGCTTCCTTGTCTCTTGTCTCCAGAGTTGCTAGGATTACAGACAAGAGTCACTGGTGCCTGGCTTATCCTTCATTTCTGAAAGACAGCTTTGCCAGGTAAAGTATTCTTGGTTGTAGTATGTCATTTATTTAATCTGACTGCTATCTAGCTATCTAGTCCTTTAGTAGGCTAAATGTATCATTCCATTCTCTCCTGACTTGGAAGGTGTATACTGAGAAGTCTGCTTCTAGCTTTATTAGAATTCTCTTATATGTGGAATAATCATTTTCTTTTCTTCTTTAAGGACCCTTTCTGGCTTTGGTTTTTGAAAGATTGTTTATAACATGTCTTGATGCAGACTTATCCGAACTAAATCTTACTGGAGATGTATGACCTTCCTGTACCTAGACATCTTTTCACATTATTCTTTAAATAAGCTTTCTGTTTCTTTTTCTTTTACTTCTGGAACTCTTATAACCCAAATATTTCTTCTCATACTATCTCATAAACCCTGTAAGTGTTCTTCATACTTTTTCATCTGACTGTATATTTCAAAATAAATTGTTTTCCTATGCAGATTATTTCTTCTGCTTGATCAATTCTGCCACTGATATAATTCCAAAATGTGATTTTTTAAAAAAAAAAAACTCCAATATTTTAGCTGACTTTCTCATTTGGGTTACTGTTTACTGATTTCACTGAATTATTTATTATTTTTTAAAAATTCACTGAGCTGCCTTAAAATAATTACACTGCCAGGCATGGTGGCCCATGCCTGTGATCCCACTCAGGACAGTCATGACTTTAAGTGCAGCCACTTTGAGACCCTGTCTAAAAAATAAAAACAAAAGGACTAGGGACATATCTCAAGGAGGTAGAATGCTTGCTCAGCAAACACAAAGCCTTGTATTTAATCCCCACAACCACACACATGAAATGACTTATATCTATTTCCTTAGTATTGGTTAATGGTGCTTTACTTTGTTCCTTCGATTATGTCATGTTTCTGATTATTCTTGATCCTGTGGCCTTATTTGGTGTCTCAACATTTGAAGAAGTATCGACTAATTCCAGTCTTTGAAAGCTCTTCACTAGTCAACCTGTCCACAGATTTTAAAGACACCATTTGGTATGGTCCACAGGCAGACTTGCAGCTTGAAGCCCTGAGCAGCATAATCCGGTTGCTGATCAGCAGGTAGGCAGGTCTGCAAGGTTAGAAATGAAGCCTGGATCCACTATGGTGAAACCTATTGACTGGGTTATGGGAATATACCTGGATCCACCCTATTGAACCTGTTAATTGGGTTATGGGTGTAGGCTGGCCTAGCACTGGGGTAGGCCTAGAGCCTGCGTATGTAGAAACCAGTCAGGTATGGGGATGGGCCAGCACAAAAGTCCACTGGGACAAGTCTGAAAGCTGAGCCCAAAGAGGTTGACCTGGAACCTGGGTCTACAAGGAAGGTCCTAAAGCCTCAGTATGTAGATACTGCCCTGGTAATAGTCTACTCTTGGCCCAATGGAGCCTGGGGACACAGGGATGGCCTAAAGCTTGCGTCCAGCATGAGATAAGCGTGCAGCCTGAGTCCAAAGGAACCAGCCTGGGGGCTGAGTGTGGGGTGATGGCCTGGAAGGTAGTTTCACGAAGGGTACAGTAGGTCATGAGGCAGCAGAGGCTGACCTGTTACCTGGTACAACAGGGAAGATCCTTGAGTCTGGGTACCGAAGGGGCCTCGAATCTACTGGGACTAGCCTGAACCCTACGTCTGCTAGAGCAGGACTGGACCCTGAGTCTGCTGGAATGTGGGATCATAGGAGTCAGACAGGAGGGTAAAACTGCAGGGTCCAGCCTGGCATTGGGCAGGCCTGGAGCCTAGAGTGATGGGATATGGTCTGGAACTGGGAAATTGAGGTAGACCTAGAGGCCCAATCTGGGTACTAGCCTGGAGTATGCAGTCAAGGGGTATGACTAATCCTGAGTTTTACTGGGGTAAGACCAGTGTCGGGATCCACAACAAAGTCTGATGCTGAGATTGAAGGACAGAGGAAGCAGGTAAAGTAAAACTGCCTTCCTACCCTTTCCAATGCATCTTCTCTTATTTCTGACACATACCAGTGCTATAACCCCTCACTTGGTTTTCTTAGCTCTTAGGAAGGCATTTTTATTGATGGATAATTGTTCAAACTGATGTTTCTACAATGGGACAAGTACTACAAAATCCAGTTCCACCATCTTGCTAACATCTGGACCTCAAGACACTATGGTCTTCCAAAAAAAAAAACATCCAACACCCTGGTCTGGCACCACAATCTTTCCAGTCATGGCCATCATCAATAGCATATGAATTCAACTAGTCCCATGTTAAAAATCCTATGCGCATGCCTCAGTGAGAAGTTCTGCCCCATCTACTCTGCTAAGACTCAACGTGAAATACCATGCATAACCTTCTGGCTATTGGAGAAGTCTTTGAATTCCAAGCATTACAAGGTTTCTAACCTCAGCAGGCCATTCAGCGCATGAGGCTTTCAACAGTATCTGGTCATTTCTTAACTCAAAACTCTCTATAACTTTCTAAGTATTCTCAAATCCCCTAATTAAACCATGTTAAGTATAATGTTCCACAAAACACTATTAAAAAGCATTTCCTAAAAAGGTACACAGTCACTAAACCACAATGAAATATCACCTTACATCCATTAGGATGACTACTAACAAAAAATAAATTTAAAATGTTAGCCAAGACACAGAAAAACTGTAACCCCTGTGAATATTGGTGGGAATGTAAAATGGTGTAGAAACTGTGGAAAACAGTATGGCAAGTTCTAAACATATTAAACACATAAATACAATTTGATTCAGTAATTCAGCTTCTGGGTACATACACAAAAGAATTTGAAGCAGGGTCTCAAAGAGTATGCTTATGTTCCTACCAACATTATTCAAAATTGCTAAAACATGGAAACAACCCAACTGCCCATTAACAAATGGGTGGATAAGCAAAATGTGGTATATACATGCAACCAAATGCTATTCAGCATGAAAAAGGAAATTCTTATATATGCTATTACATGGATGAACCCTGAGGACTTTATGCCAAGAGAAATATGACAATCACCAAAAGACAAAAAAATGTGTAATTGCATTTATACAAGGTACCTTGAAGTAGCCAAAAGTCACAGACAGTATATAGAATGGTGGTTGCCAGAGGTAGGGGGAATGGAGAGTTATGGTTTAATGGATACAGAGTTTCAGTATTACAAAATTAAGAAGAGTTCTGGTAGTGACTGCATAATAATGTTAACATTCATAATACTACTGAAATGCATAATTAAAATACTAAACTTTTTATGTGTATTTTACAGTATTTTAAAAGTTACCCAAAAAATTACATGGTCACATAATCATATAATTTGAAGGGTATACTTTATAGTCCTTGGAGATTCACAATGTATACAAGCATTTAAAAGGATGTACTCTATTTTTAGTAGAGAAAATCAAGACTTTGTAAACCTCACTCACACACAAACATCATGTATCCATCATTATCTCCTTCTTTTAATTTCAGAAGATGAGTCTTTCCTCTTCTTCAAAGTCAACTCCTACATCAGTATTTTTCAATTCAACCCTTACTACCTCCAAAATCTTGCTTTAATAATTATAACCTCTACTATCTTAAACTTCGTAATTCCTTATAACAAATCACTCAGGTCTTAATTTCATTTTTCTTAATATTTGCCTTAAATCCAAAAAACCTGATCTTCAATTCACATTTACCATTGCCTTTAGTAAAGCCTTTACTTGACTCTAACTACTATTGAAGCCTTGGTCACCCTAACAGCACACATTTCTCCTCAAGCCTGTTGCTCTGTCATTAAATTTATTTAAAACATGTCCGGACAGGGTTACTAACTCTCATTAAGCAAATTCTTTAAGATTCTCAAATATCTATGAAGCTAAGACCCTTCTCATAACATGCAAAGCCCTACCTAGTCCTTTCTACCAATCAAGTCATCTTCATTTTTCATGCTTCTAGAAATCTATGATCTAAAAGGCTTCAACTGACTACTGTTTGCTAAACTAAGCATGTTGCTTCATAACCTTGCTGCTTCTGCTTCCCCCTGGAAGAGCCACACTCACACTTCAAGCTGCCTAACTCCCATAAAATTTCAAGACTTAACCTAGTCAGTGATACCCATTTTTCTGCCATGTAGAGTAGGTTCCTACTGCATACCTGGGAACTCTGGCACTCCTGTGTTCCCACTACATCCCATGTACCGTTCTAAGTCAGTGACTGAAAAGATTTGCTTGGGCATCTTTCACTCTGTATATACTATTTCTCTAACGTAGGAACTAACTCATGCATCTTTGCATCCACAACACAGAATCTGAGGCAATTAGAGTAAACTGAGAATATATTTTAACAATCTTGCTTTGATAAGCTAAATTACTTAATAGCAGGCATTAGGTTGTTAAACTCAGCTTTCCCCACCCTCTCCTTTTTTCTCCACAACTGCTAGAGGAGCAAAGATGTAAGAATTCAGGAATATGCAATATAGATGCATGAATACATAAAAATTATCTATGTACTAGATAATTACTAGTAAATCATCAGTTAGTAGATAATTGTTACTAGTATACATCTAGTGACTTGCTACCAAAATTTAGAGTTACTTGATATGGAGGAAAAAAAAAGTAGGTATATTCCTATCTCTTGATATACTTTTAAACCACTACTTCTTTTACCTGAAAATTATTTAAAATAATATGACAGTCTAAGCACCTAATAATGTGGCAGTCAAAAGCAACTTAAAACACACCACAGCCTCAACCAAGTTATACTTACATTCGGCTAGCTTCAGTGTCGTCAGACTGAGGTTCTCCTGGTGATCTGTAAAATGCAATTAAGGAAAAGTTAGGAAAATATTCTGTGTTCTAACAAGGGGGAAACATGTAACTTGGAAAGACAAATCTGAAAACAAGATCTACACACTCAACAGAAGTTTTAAAGGTAATTAAAAGATTTCAATCATGAAGAAAAAGTGGTCAGATCAGATTGCCATACAAAATATTTATTTTAAGGACTAATAAAAATTCAATGCATTTATTTAAAGGAAACTGTAACCACTATATTTAAATATCAACAGACAAACCAGTATAAGCCATAATTATTCACAAAGTCAAATATAATAAAAACACAAAAGTGTGAAAATTTCTATAGCCAAGTATTGGTTATTGACATTAAAAAAGTGGTATTCATAGTCTTAAGCTTTAGATCAGGGGGTCAGCCTGGGCAGACAAGACACACTAAAGATTCAGCTAGCCAACTGCTTGTGTAAGTAATACTTTACTGGAACAGTCACATTCACTCATTTAGGACTATGACTGTTTTCACATTAAAAGAGCACGACTGAGTACCTATGGAGGAACCATATTGCCCACAAAGCCTAAATATTATGTGGCCCATTAAGAAAAAGTCTACCAACCTCTACTCTAGACAATTAAAATTAAAATCTAGTAGCCATGGTAAATTTTGACAACTTAAATTAGAAGTAGCATTCTGATTATTATTATCTTGGTTTAACAATGAAATTAGATTTCCCTAAAAATACACTGGCAAGAACATCAGTCAAAAATGTATCATCTGGAGTATTAATATTTTTCTCTAGATAATTGCGAATTAACTTTAGTTTTAAATAGTTGCCAATTATATGTATATTTTGATTACAAATACTCAAATTCTAAGGTATTAAGAAGCACTTCATTTTGAGACAATTGGTCCTATCTCTAGCATGTTGTTAATTAAAAAGAAAAAAAAAAATCCCTGAGGCAGACATTATGGCCCACACTTGCAATCCCAGCACTCAGGAGGATGAAGCAAGAAGATTTCAAGTTCACAGCTAGCCTGGGCTACAGAGTGAGTAAGACCTGCCTCAAAAACTTTTTTAAAATCCCTATTACCTATTTTTATAAAAACCATCAGTACTGTATGATGAGATTCAATGTAATACCTATTTCTAACAATTTCAAACTTCCAAAATAGTTTTTTAAATGTTTAGGCAAAAAGTTAAATTTTTCAAACTGGCATACAAGGAGTTGATTTGTGCATTTATGACTGACTGTAGACTTCCAACTTTAAAATAAATGGTTAACAAAAGAATCTTAAGACCTGGGGGCATGGCTCAAATGGTAGAACACTTGCCTAGCATGTCAGAGACCGAGGGTTCAATCTCCACTACCAAAAAAAACCCTTAAAATCAGCTGAATTTTAAATTTCCTCACTTAAAAATAATTCTCACTCTACTACTGGAGCCATGCACCCCCAGCCGTTTTTCCACTTTAGAAATTTTTCAGATAGAGTCTCCTGTTTTGCCAAGGTCTAGCTGCAGTCCATGATCTAAGGCCTTCCTTGTACCTGGGACCACAAGCACATGCCATACCTGGCTTACTAAGATGGAGTCTCACTAACTTTTGGGGGAGAATTATGGGCTGGCCTGAAACTGGATTCTCCTGATCCCTGCCTTCAGAGTAACTAGGGAAAAAATTCTTACTTCTTTTATCAGGCTTTGAAAATTACACACACTGTACTTCATTCAGATTCCAAGTCAAGAATGCAAAAAAAAAAGTTTTAATTAAAAAAAGACCTCAGCAGCTCGAATATTTATTTTAGATCATCTTTGTAGTATATTTATATTTTCAATTTCGCACAAAATTATGTAAGAACTAAAAAATAAGGCATGTTGAAGGTCACGGTGACTTGGCAGTGACATACGTAAGTTTACTCGACCCTGTCCCCAGGTAGTAAGCAAATCACCTCTGTGACACACCTGATATCCACCAGCCTTGTGGGTAAAGTACCCTAAGATTGTTTCCAAACTTGTATCTCCCAGACAAAAGAGTTAAAAATCAATGATAACCCCATGTAACACCTGACTCACATTTGAAAGTGTGACCCTCTAGCATCAGATGTCATATTGTTAAGAAATAAGAGATGGCTTGCAAAACATAAAATAAACCTACTGGCACTGAGGGAAGGGAGACAGATTAGAAGCTTTTAAACAGGTAGGCAGCAAAACTTTCCAAATTAACAGAGAACGAGGAAGAGAAAAAACAAAAACAAAAAAAAAGCAAGGACAGGATGACAGGAAAAAATACTACTGCAACAGGTAAAGGGAAAACAAATCCAAGTCTCGGAACATGTAACTGCTGCAAAATTTTGAAATTTTTAAAATAGGATAGAAATATTTCATCAAATAGCAACTACATCTATTTTCCCAATTTCAAAATGTCATCAAATTATTGTAAACATTCCAGATTACTACTTAATGTTTACATTTATTAAAGTGAGCTGTTAAAAAACATTTAAGTTAAACCAAGTAATTTTATCAAAGTCTAGAAGGATAAAAAAGTAAGAAAGAACTGAAATGTTATTAACCTAAAATAAAATTTTTGTAGGTTCTCAGAGGTTCAAACTGCAAACATTTTTAATTAAGAGAAAAGTAAATATACACAGAACTAACAAAATTATGTTTCTTGTAATGCTGTATCTCCAAATAAATTTCTCTAATATTCTAAATAAGTTATTTTAAAATTATTCTGGGTCCAGGTACAGTGGCTCACACCTGGAATTCCAACTATTCAGGAGGCTGAGATCAGGACAATGACAGGTGGAAGCCACTGGGACAAAAGGTTAGCAAGACTCCATTTCAACAAAATAAACTGAGCATGGTTGCACACACCTGTGATCCTAGCTATGAGGGAGGCATAAGTAGGAGGACTGAAGACCAACGCTGACCCAGGCAAAAACATGAGACTTTATCTGAAAAAATAACTATAGGAAAAAGGGTTGAGGGTATGGTTCAAGAGGTAGAGCACTTCCCTATCAAATTCAAACCTACATACTGGGGAAAAAAAAAAAACAATTAAAATTAGAACTCAAAGTCTCAAAACATGTATGAAATATACGTAACATCTACTAATAGTTCTAAAGCTATATTTTGGCTCTTAAATATGTTATTTACTGTTTACTGCCAGGATGTTGGAAATAAGAATCTAGTACATGCTCCTAATTTTGCCAAATTCAGAACATTTAAAAGGGGAATGAAATTTAAAAAAAAAAACAACTAGTGATTTAAATAATAAAGCAGAGAAGAAATTTTAAACTGAAACATTACAAAACAAAAAACAGATCTTAAAAGAGTCTCAATTTTACGTCTTGATTTGAATCACAGAAAATATGATCACGGAACACCCACTAATCTGAACCCTGCAACAAGAGCTAGCAAATTTTAATGATGGCTCACTTCCAATAACACTGAGTATAACTTCTCCATTCTGTAAGCCACTAGGTTTTAACTAGGAGAGAGAAATATACTAGTTTTATTAAAGTTGTAAAAAACTTACAGAAGTATTTAGACTTCCACCACAAAAAAGGCATACTTTAAAACACATAAAAGACATTTTCCACATCATATTTAATGTTTATAATGGAATATTTAAAACCCTGAAATTCTTGAGACTTTGTTATTTATCCATATAGATAGGTCTTTGGTGGTGGTTATTCATCTCTTCAATGGAAACACTAAAATATTTTCGGAATGGAAAATTAAGACAAATCTTAAGTCCTCTATTCTTTTTTTTTTTAAATAAACTACATTCATTATATGGGGGGGGGATTCATAGTGACAATTCTGATTAGACTTATATTCTACATTATTTACATTGCCCCCATCATCTCTCCCCCTCTATTCTTAACAATATTCTTGCAAACTATACACTGTTTTCATTTCTAAAGCATGTATTGCACTTTACAATGACAGCCTTTTAAAGGCTGTAAAATAACATTCAAAATTACCTTTTACAAGCTGTGGCCATTCGGTGACATCAGGGTGATCACAGCTTTGAGTCACTGATTAAAAACAGGTTGTCACACCAGTCTAGTTGCTAACTTGATCTGAGCGTAGACTTAATAACTCTAATAAATTAAACAAACCTTTAGTTAGAACACTTTAGTATATAAATCAAATTCATCGTTCAAATAATAATCTTCAAGCTACAAACCAAGTGTCAATACAAAATTTATCGGAAGAGTATTTATCATAGAAAAGTTTTTAAGGACTATTTTCCAGCATGTTTTCTTAAACAGTATCTTCACTTGAGAAAATGTGGTACAGTTTAAGCATCCCTAACCTAGACATCCAAAACGCTCCAAAATCCAAAATGTTTTAAGCATCATGTCAACATCTCTAGTTTTGGATCTGGGGGCATTTCAGTTTTTGATTTTTGGGTTAGGTAAAGCCTATACATATATTCCAAAATCTAAAAAATAATAAAATCTGAAACACATTCAATACCAAGCATTTCAGATGAGGGACTCAACCTGTAATAATCCCTTGTACTTTTTATGTAGTGTTAGAGTTTGCAAAGTACTTTGGTCAATGGTACCTTAAGTCTCACAATAATTTTTCTCTGATTAAGGCAGATACCAAAAGAATTTAATAACAATAATAATAATAATCAGCCTCAGAGTAATTAATTAACTTGCCCAAGATTTTAGAATCAGTTTTAAAACTAAGACTAAAACAAAATCTACTGACTTTCTATTGAGGATCTAATTTTTTGTTTTGGTTTAGTTTGCTATACAGTTTCATGATTTAAACATGCATAAATGACAAAGGATTTAGAACATGAACTGACACCTCACAATTATGACAGAAGTTTAAATGGGACTAATTTAATGATACGATTCTTAAACAGTAGGAGAAATCAGCCACCACAATTTTTTTTTTTTCTTTTTGGGTGGGACTAGAGTTTGGCAGACGCTCTACCGCTTGAGCCGTATCTCCAGTCCATTTTGCTCTGGTTATTTTAGAGATGGGGGGTCTCTGAAAATATTAGTCCGGGCCAGCCTCAAGCTCAGATCTTCTCAATCTCAGCTCCCAAGTAGCAAGGATGACAGGTATGAGCCACCAGCGCCTGGCTTAGACAAATTCTTAATGAAATAGCTACACACACCTAAGTCTAATCCTACTTATTCTGCATTTAAGTAAAGTCATCTAAATGTTGCATGAAAATGTGTTCCACTCTTTCTTAGTCACAAATCCACTAGATTTAATTGTATGAAATACAGCAAAATATGATAGTATATCTCTCTCTACCAAATATCTTCTTACTCCCACACATAGACTTAACCAAACTTTCCTGATTCAAGTTTAACAGGACTCCTTAATCATACTAAAATCCAGAAGAAGACACCATACATCTAAAATATCCCAGTATTGGGAGACAATTTCATGCAACTACTTTTTCCACTCAAAACACACTTAACAAACTACATATCCAAGCCCAATCTGAGGAGCAAACTAAGGAAAGATTAAAAGATTTGAAGAGAGAAAACCCCTACTAATCAACATCTTCAAACTAACAATAGGCAAGCATAGAGAATGGTTAATAGCATGGACCCAGAAGTCAAAACTAAACAGCAAGGTATTCTGAGAACCCCAAAAGAAAGAACCGAAACATCAATGCTCAAACCGGTATTTCTGCAACTATGAACATAGGGCTTCAAATCCAGTAAGTTAGGGTTGGCCTACCTTCAGGGAATTTCTATAAATCCTATAAACCCTGTAGGAACTCAATTTCCTACATTTTCCTATCACTAATGTGTCTCCTAGTAAGGACTTAAGGGTCACTGAAGTAAGGGAAGGAGGCAACAGCATCCCTGAAGTGAACAATGTGGTCATGATACAACCTTCCTCGGTTTCCTCGTGAGACTAATAAATTGTGTGTGTGTTTGGAAAATCCAAGTGAGTCTAACTTCCAACTTATAAACACACAAAAAAATGAGAAGTTAAAATATCTTTTAGCTGATAAATTAATTGAGGTTAATTAATTAAAGAGCTGCATATATTTTGAAAATTGCTAAGTCAAGTGCTCTCCTCCAGTGCCCTCTCTTATGAGGTTCAGTGCTCAATAGGAACAAACAGGTTCCAAAGCCAGTCTGGGATACATGTCCCTGCTTGGTCACTTACTAGCTGAGAAATCTTGGGCAAATTACTTAACCTCTCTGAACCTCAGCTGCCTTAAAAATCAAATGAAGATAACAGAAGATGAGCTGTCATGAGAATTAATGAACTATCTAAGTAGCTCAGAACGGTGCCTGGCTATAGATATAATGTGCTTATAAATGGAAGTGGAAGTGATTATTAACATCCACAGCCTAACATTCAAACCTACCCCCTCTATCTTCTTATGGGTATTATTTTATACCTCATATTGTACTAATCTCTTGTAAGTTCTTCCAGCACTCCACTTTGGTTCCTCATATGCTACCTGGTAGCATAGTTATTTATTTAGCACCTACTACAATACTTTAAAAATGATAAGCACCCAAACTTACTGAACGCCAAGTCATTACTCTTGCTGTGACATTAAGATACTTCATGCAATATCAATTTCAAAAAATAAAACAGAAACATACCATATTTCGCCAAACTTCTGAGGAGCTGGTGAATTCTAAAATCAGGGTCTTACAGATTTTTAACCTAAAATATAAAACACCTCACTCAATTCTTTTTACAAAATCAACTGGGTAAGCTTTTAGAAAATTTACTAATATTGGTTATAAAATAAAACCAAATGCATCTTCTGTAATATTTATGAACATCCAAAAATATAAGGAGACAAATTACTCTACTGCTGTTGCCGCGTGGCAGGGTAGGTAGGCAGGCCCTGTGGCCTGAATGTTTTCAGGCAAGCCTTGTTTCTCATTTTCATACACGAAGTTAATGCTTTCTATTTCTTTACCTTCTGTTACAAATAGTCTGAAAATATGAGAACTGCCTACATACCACTAATCCTCAAATATCTATAGTAAACTTTCTTTTAAATAAATTCTATATGCTGAACATCTGCCATGTACAAACACAGATATCCAGTCACTGCTATTGTTTTAGAGAATGTACTAACACAACATTGAATAATGTCTGCCTAGCACATAACAGAGCTTCCATATACTGTGACAATTATCATTTCTTAAACCATAAATCAAAACTTAACACTTCACCAAACCAAAAAAAGAAAGAAAAGAAAACCTATTCTGAAACTTAAAGCAAGAGCCAAAACAACTTTGTAAATTCTTAACTCTTTTCTAAACAATTGGAGCATTCCTCAGTGGAAAAGGAATTAAAGTCTTTTAATTCATCTTATCTTATAATGAGGAAATCAAATCCCAAAGATTAAGAAATGCACACCCAGTATCCAACCAGCTGATGGAAGAAAATGGATACACTGCATTAAATATTCTTGATAAATAGACTTAGTCCAAAGACTTTTAGAGGACTGGGTCTCAAACTTCAGTCTGTAATAGAATCACCTAAGCGATCTATAAAAATGCACCTAGTCGAGCACAGGTGGCTCATGCCTGTAATCCTAACTACTCAGGAGGCCAAAATCAGGAGGATCAAGGTTCAAAGCCAGCCTCAGGCAAATAGTTCCCAAGGCCCTATTTTGAAAATACTCAACACTAAAAAGGACTGGCAGAGTGGCTCAAATGGTAGAATGCCTGCCTAGCAAGCATGAGACCATGAGTTCAAGCCCCAGTACTGCAAAATGCACCTGCTTAGGCTCTACCTGCAGAGATTCTGATTCAGTGCATGAGGTAGGGAATGTGAATCTGTATTTTTAGCACATGTTTCAGGAGAGGTGAAATCCCATTTCCAATGTAACTCTATATTTAAGACCCTAACTCTACATGTTTTTAAGCCCTTATCCCTGCAATTCCCAATTACCAAAGGTACACAACCATTTAAATGTCTCAGTATCTAAAGTCAATGTTTTTAAAATCAAACTCAATTATTTCTTAAAGACAACAACAACAAATAAAGACACCTCATTCTTCTCTCTCTATTCCTAATCTCACTGTCTGTTAGTTATGGACTAAAAAAAGCTGATGCCATTCTTCCTTTCCTCCCCTTATTTCATTTAGCCTAAGTACAACTTGTCAACTCTTCAAATTCTTAGTAGTCATTCATTCAAAATACATCAACTAGATTGAGTGGCTACTACCTGGACAGAAATACAGTGATGAAGAAACTAGACATACTCTTTGTCCTTGTGTTGTAAAGGAAATGAGCACAACTATTTATGCAATTACAATGCACAGGTGAGTTATGAAGGAGAAACACAGGGAATGGTGTACATTATACTAAAGAGTCCTGATTTAATTTGGGGAAAATACATACTTCAAAAGAGATGAGCAAGATTTATTTATCAGACACACTAAGTAAATCCTGTGAGGTAATGGTAACACTGCTAGTTCAATTGCCCAAATCAGAAAAGCTTGAGAGGTATTCTAAAGTCTCTCTTTCCCAGTATAACAAACTGTTCACCAAGTGCCAGTTCTATCTCCAGAATTCCTCCACATTCCAATGATCCTCATGTTATTCTTCCAATGACTTTAAGTTGCTTCTATCATGTCAGATGAGACCATAAAGAATCTGGCCAAACCTGCCAATCCAGCCTCTTCTTCCAAACAAAACAAAATGTTGAGAGAATATGTGGATCAGGGCTTAAAAATGTTTAAAGACTAAAACATCTTACAAAAGAGAAAGTTTTAGGTAACTAGCTTTAGGTCCTTTACACTTAATGCAAGGTTAAAACTCCAATCCAGATTTGCCTGATTCTAAAGACCATGCTCATTCCCTTGTACCCCCTTCTAATTTACATTAAAACCCTGTAGATTTTTGTCTTTAAAACAGTTCTGGGTCTTTCCTTTTCCCAAGCTTACCAATATTGTCATTATTTTATCTGGTTTCCATTTTGCATTTATCCTGCTAGAAACAGTACTAGCTGCTAGAATTATACTCCTAAAAATTAGAATTTGGCCATATCACTTCCATATTCAAATTTTTCTATGCCTTGCCAATACCAACCAATAAATTTCAAACTCCTTGACATTCTGAGGACCTTCCCACACGGCCCCACACGGCCATCCAAGCATTACTGCTCATTCCGTGCTATCATCACCAGGTACCATATCTAGTCCTGTCATCTGATTACTGTCTATCACATGGTAGCCATCTGTACTTCTGATCGCAATGGTTTTGCTTCTTAGGACATTTCACTTAGAAATGTTTCCCTGTGCTCTGCAACTTCCAAATCCCAATTTCCACCTCTCAAGCCCTGTTCGAAACTCTATTCTCTTCCCCTATACGTATAACCACTGTCTTGTTGGGTGGGTCTTACTATACATTTCCAATATCATTATAAAATTGTTAATTTTCACACTATGTTTATTATTTTATACCTTACATTATAGTCATCCATACACATTTGTCAGTACCTCTAGATATAAGCTGGTTGATATCAGGGATCATCTCACTCATATTTTTACACTCATAGTAATGGTAACTATATTTTCTTGATACCACACCTCTCCCATATTTTAAAAAGAATCAGGATCCATGGGCTGACAAAATATCTAGAGCTATTCCAAATGCAATTTGTGGAGCTGGGTGTGGTGACAAACACCTGTAACCCCAGCTACTTATAAGGCAAAAGCATGAGTTTTTTGTTGTTTTTTTTTTTTTTTTTTTTTTTTTTAGGAAGAGGGTATGTGGTTTTTTGTTTTGGTTTTTTTTGTACTGGGATTTTGAACTTAGGGCCTCAAGCTTGCTAGGCAGGTGCTCTAACCACTGCTCCCTAGCCCTAGGCAAAAGCATGAGGATAGAGTTTCCAGACCAGACTGGGCAAACATAGCATCAAAATCCTGTCTCAAAAACAAAAGGGCTGAGGGCACAGCTCAAATGGTAGGGCACCTACTAGGAAATACAAGGCCCTGGGTTCGATCCCCAGAACCTCAAAAAAAATTCATTGACAAACAAACAAGGAGATCATTTCTTCCCAAATTAACATAAATTTAATCCAATGCCAACCTAACAAAAGCTTATTTCAAAAATTAAATATGTAAGAATAGCCAATAATGTCTTGTTTGTAATAGAAGAATAATGTCTCTTTCTTCAAAGGAACTTACTACTGGGTTCCAAAGTACAGTATATTAACTTAGAAATATGATTAAAATCAGTACAACTCCTTAAAAAAATCTTTGTCAGTATAAGCTAAAACTAAACATAAGCATACCCTATGGCTTGAAAATTTCACTCCTAAGAATAACAGACACAAGAATATAAGTATGTTCACAAGTTCAACCAACAATAAATCTCACAGATATTTTAAATGTTTTAATATTTTAAATGAAAGATGCCAAACACACCCCCAGATGCTTCTTGACTCATGACAGAGGGTGAAAACCATTATATGTTGAAAATGTCTTAAGAGTGTACTTAATACACCTAACCTTTAGAACATCAGACCTTAACAACACAGAAGAGTAAGTAGTATGCCTTTTATCTACAGAGGATAGATTCTAAGACCTCCAGTGGATGCCTGAAACCACAGATAATACCAAACTCTAATAAAACTGAATTATACCAAAATATTATAACAAAAATTAAGTGAATCTTGAAATATCTTACTGATACTGTACTCAAACCTTTTTTGTGTGATGTTAAATGATTCTTAAAGGAAACACTTTATGCCTTCTTTTTGGCATATTCATATTGCTGGCATCACTCACTGCTCTTGCACTTTGGGGCCACTGGTAAGTAAAATAAGGGTTATTTGAAAAAAAAGCACTACAAAATTAAGGCTATCGTAAAAGTTATGCTATTATATAGTTACTGTACTTGTCTGCTCATCTCATCAATTCATTCATTTCTGAGTCTGTTGATTTTCTCTTGGTTATGGATATTTTCCTTTTTGTTGTACAGTGAGTAATTTTGTTTTTTAAGTAATACTGAGGGTTGAACTCGGTTCATGCTTATTTAGGTAAGTGCTCTACCACTTGAGCCACTCCACCAGCCCTTTTTGCAATGGTTATTGTTGAGACAGGGTCTCCCTTTATAATTGCACCAACCTGGACCACTATTATCCTCTATTTGTGCTTCCTGGCACAGCTGGGATGACAGGTATACCACCATTGGTTGAGATAGAGTCTTGCAAACATTATTCTTAGTCTGGTCTCAAACCATGATCCTCCCAATCTCCACCTTCTATGTAGCTAGGATTATGGGCTGAAGCCACTGTGCCTGATGTTAAGTAATTTCTTACTGACTGTTGAACAGTGTCATATTTTTTGGTGACTAGATTTTCTTTTATTTTAGAGTGCGGAACATTGTTTTGGCAGCCAGCTAAATAACTGTTGACAAAAAGACTGAAAAATAATAAACAGGATGCTAATGACCCATAGACAACATCAAATGATTTAGTATAAATGGTTTCTGTGACTAAAAAAATAATTGACTGACAATTTTCCAAATTTGATGAAAACCACAGATATCTACACATATCCAAAAGAAAACACACACACACACACACACACACACACACACAAAACAACAACTCTCAGCTGAATAATCACAAAGAAAAATGGTGATCAATAGAAAGCCTTAAAAGAAGTTAGAGTCAGAGAAAAACAACTTTAACT